ATACGTTGCCCAGGGTGCACCACGTGGAGGTAAGTCTATCGCACACCCCATTTAAGATTATTATTATTATTATTATTTTATTTTCAGAAATTTTGCATCCTTTTCATATGCCAAAATTCAACATCAAATATTTCCCAGATTTTCAGATGGAATATTAAATCTAATTGATCCTGTTTTTTCCATTCCTTTTAGCAATTTGACTTTAGAGGATTGGGGGGTGGGGGTTGCATATTCATTGAGATACTATATCGACACACTCTTCCACATACTTTACTAGACGATATTCCATTACTTCCTCATATTGTAGATTTCTTGAATATGTTTGTTAAGTGCTAGGTGAATTGGATAGAAAGTATTGAAGGCGTTCTTCAAGCATGGACATCCCTCTTAAGAGTGACCCGAAATCATTCACTCTTAGGCTTGAGCTGCTGTGAATGGAGCAGATATTTCGTTAAAAAGTCTGGTTTACCTTTGTCTTTCTCTTTTTTAATATTTTTTATCTTTTATTAACTTGTTAGTAATATAAAAGTGTTTCAAGATTACGCAAATATGTTAAAATGCTCCAAGATAATTTATATTAAAAAATTCCTTTTCAATGACATGTAACACTAACACACCATAGATATGTAAAATGAGACAATTAAGTGAGTTCATTTGTTAAATTTCTTCCCTAAATGTGATGTTTTAGTAATTACCAAATGCTTTTTTAAGCTCCCATGTAAAGTATTTGGGCTGACATTTAAAATTAAAATCCTCTCCAGGGTGATCGAAGCAAATAGGCAAATAAAATGCTTGATTTCACCTTGAAAATGTGAAATGGGGCATGTGACATAAGAAAATAAATAAATTATTGATTAATCAAAAGACAATTGATGCTTAAAGATAAGACAAAAAGATTGACAAAAAGTTGCCAAAAAGATTGAAAAGATTGGACACTTTAAGTGACACAAATCTGTCCTAAAACTGTGGTACTGAGAGTTGCAAGTCTTCCTAATTAAAGATCAATTTACCTCCATCTTAGAGTATATTGAGGTAATGCATTTAGTCACAACATAATCAGATCAAAATTTAAGAGGTGTGAGGCGTTTATGGTGTGTGATATATACTATTAATATTGCTATTTATGGTAATTTAGCCTATTCAACTATTTAAATGGAATGGGAGCATGACATTTTTCAGCTAAGGAGTCATTTTCCATATCTTTTAAATTTTCTCCAGGATTATGCATACAGCGTGGTGAGTTAATATTTCCGTAGGGGGGATGTGCGATAGACTTACCTCCACGTGGGGCACCCTGGGCAACGTATATTCATACGGCAAAAAAGTCTATCAACTGGCAGTTGACTTCTGACTTCAAACTACCATCACCCCACTGTNCTCCCCGGTCTTAACGAGCGTCATACCCAAAAGAAGGCGATCAATGCGAGAGAGGGAGGGAGAGAGAGAGAGAAGTTGTCCTGGGTGAAAGAAACGCGCTCCACACAAGAAATGCTTCATAGCAAATGCAGTAGTTCACACTTGTGGCATATGCATTGTTATAGTTATAGTTAAGATAAAAAGAACACAATTCTTCAGCAAAGTCTCAAAAAATGCTTTAAAGGCCGTAAAGCAAAGTTTATTCACGAGCAAAGTACACTTCTACAAGCCTTAATCATATTGTTCTCTGTAAAAAAAGGCTGACTTTGTCTCCGCCTAATCGGTTAAGTGAAATTCAATTCCAATCGGCTTAGTGACTTTAGAGGCATTAACCATAAAATTACTGGCCTATTTGGGAAGAATGACTGTTTTGCGTGTAGTCAAGACCTGAACTCAAACGACGACATACTTGTTTATAAAATTGTGATAAACAGGCTAGCATAATTAGTCCCTCATCTAAAGCCTCACAAAGTGCAAAGCTTAATTTAACGAATTAGAATACTACAAAAAGCGAATTAGAAGTTACGAAAGAGAACTCATTTTAGGTACTATCAGAAACACCTTTGGGTAATTTAGAAGCGCTCTTGACGATACCACAATAAATGGCATAAAGGTATTAAGTGTTGTTATGGCAAGCGACAACACCAAGAAAACATCACAACACTGACTGCACCATTCTTACCGCATGGAAACGACTTCGCTTCGTTTTATGGGACTGTAAAGCAATTTTTAATTGAGATTTTGGGAAGAAAAGGCATACTCAGAAAACAAGTAAGGACGAAAACGAGGAATCACCGACGTATGGAGGACAAAGACAACAAAAATATTTACCTTCTTTTGAATGGTCAACTGTCCAAAGCAAGCAAAAAAAGGTAGAGAAATATCGACCTCATACGCATACGCATTTAAGACCGGGATAATGGATAAAGTTGACGGAAGATCATTAGAAATTCAACTCAAGTTTACCTGAATTTCTGCTCGCTGACGAGTCAAGGTCAAGTTCATCACATCCAGCTCATCTTCAAGGGTCTAAAATGAGGGGAAAAAGAAGTGCGTTAAAAGGGCTGCAACTGGAACGACTTAATAGCACGGGAGGGCGGGGGAGGAGAAGGAGGAGGAGGAGGATAAATTACATCAATCATTTCCAACTCTTGGGGAGTAAGGGTCTCATTCAACAGTTTTTTGGTCCACAAGTTGGTGTAGTCTTTAATCATCTGTCGATGTTCTTTGATATGTTCCCAAGACCATACGCGTGTTCGACGTCGAACAATCTCCTCCAACACTGCATTATAGGCAAACATCCACCTTGAGGTGCTGCAGAAATTAAGATCATCGAAGATCAACAAAAATAATTGAATAGATTAAGTCAATTACATAAGATTAAAACCTTACCTAGTTTTAGAATATTTCTTGGAATCAACCACTGACTTATACTTCAAGAATTTATTTTGAAGGATCAATCGATCAACAGAGTCGAGAAGAAGAAGAATGTCGACGTATTGATTATGCTGGAGGTCTACCTCAATTTCTTCGAATTTAATGTCTATTCCGACTTGAGGGATCTTAAATTGAGCCTTTTCAGGTTGCATATGTACATGAAGAAGTGAGTTGAATGAAATCGGTCGAATAACTATGAGATTAGGAATATTATGACCATTAAATCAACATACTGTAATCCATTCCTGTTTTGGTTTTATCAAAGCTTGCAATGGAGGAACTCATAACATTCTAGAATTTATTCCGATAAATTTACAAACAAATCCTACTCTAAGAGGCCCGGTTGGGAGATTTCCATAAATTGCCGAATTATGATTCCAGTAAATAGCAAGCGAATCCAGTTCAGCAAGCTAGCATAATAATAAAATACGAAAGACACATACCTTGAAGAACTCTTTCGACGAATCATTCGCAAGAATAACTGGCTGACCAAAGCTATCACAGGTCTAGGAAGATTAAAATTGGTAAAATAAAATTTACCTGAAAAGCTAATCGATTCAAAGTTATACCGGCAGAAAATCGCATCCCACGAATAGTAGTCTGATCCTCATAACGAATGTGAATATTTTCAATTATAACTTGAACATTTTTAATAATCTGAGAGGCAAGTTTTTCCAAAAATGTATCTGAAGACTCTTTTTCTTGCAGCTGTTTCACTTGACGAAGTTCATCAATGGATTGAAGAGTCCTTCGTTTAGCTTCACGACGATATTGACGCTCCTTATTTTCATCATAAACAGCAGCTAATAAATAAACATTCAAGCCAAAAAAACATTGCAAACCAGCTCGAGGAACAGCAAGGATGTATAAGCCCTCTAATTCAGCAACCACAGGTTCCGTGTACAGATTTTTGTATGGTATTTTAAGTTTTAGTTTACCTAAAGATTAAAGTAACAAGCAAACGTACGAATATGGCCTTGTATAACCCTGATGGGTATTTGAAAATCATCGAATGCGGTAGCTCGCACATCGACATTTTCTAGGGATACGTTACCTTAAAAATCAAACTCTTCGATATAAGGAATATACTGACCAGATAACAGACCCAAACTGAGTTGTGAGGCACTAAGGGTCTCCAAGTAGCTGCCAAGATATCGATTTAAGAGATCAGCAACTAGTGTCTCAAAAACCATATCAGAGTCCCATAAGGTTAAGTTAAGCGAAAATTGTTTCTACAGGCTAGCCAATTACTTATTTTGACCTTCAATTAGGTAATGATATTTTTATAGATGCGCAGTGCTTGTGGCATATTTAAAATATTATAATTATTAACGAAACATATAGCTTGCAGAAAAATTAATATTTCAATAACTCTATTTTACTTTTTTTATTTAGTAATATTCTGGTTTTCTAAAATTTATCCTATCTCAATGAAATATATTATACCTTCATTTTAAGTATTATCTGGCTTATTCGTGTCGAAGAGAAGGGTCTCATTTTTCAAATATTTGCCATATGAATGATCAATTATGTGCTTATCTTAATACTTCAGTTTTATTGTTGCTCTTGTGTTACATTCTGTGATCTAAAAACATAAATGTAATTAACTCCATCAGGAGTTTTAAACCCTCCTTGGTGAAATCTTTTAGATATCGATTCAATTATCCCAAAGAGCTTGTAAGAACTTTTGTTTAATGAAATATATATTTGACTAAGTGGAATTACTTGAAGTGGTTATTTTATGCTTTGCTCATGCATATGATATTGAATAAGGTTCTGTTTTACTGTTTTATCTAAAACAAAAGTGCCGATAATAAAGAAAATTTTGATTTGCTTGACAAATTTGTTGAACTCAATTAGATGGTATTGCATTTTAGAAAAAAATTCTCCCATCTTCAATGCTTCCTATGACAGCTTTAAGTTTTTGTGAGATCACCTTATTTCCATTTATTTGTCAGAATTCGAATAATCAGAGTTTTTTTCACTAATTTTAGCCTTCAAATGACCAACCGATATATCGCTATTGACTTAATAATTTCGTTAATATTAAGCATTTACTCACTCTAGTTTGTAATCGATCATGCTATCAAATAATGTATCAAGGAGAGGACATGTGGCTGAATGTTTTTTATTTAGGATCGGTAACAGTTGATAGAGAAATAGTTGGGAATAGTGAGTTAAGTGTTGATAATATTATTTAGGTTTCTAAAGATCAGTGAGTTATTTAAGCTCCATATGAATAAACATTCGTCTATTCATGAGCTCAATTGGCTGACAAGACTGCACCATCATCAGTGGCGATGTAGGCTTGACTAATAGTATGAATTTTGAATAATTTTTTAGACTTGAAAAATTTATTTGTTGAAAAATTTTGATGACAGAGAAGACTCTTACTTCTCTTGATGCTCAATTTTGGGTTGAGCAATATCTACTTATTTGTCCGTTTAAGTGCAAAAGGTCAGCTTTCACGGATTGACGGGTATTGTTGACCTTTCTCCTTTCGAAGATTATCAAAATTGAATGACAATGCGTGATATTATGTAGTTTTTGTATGACCCAGCATTCCTGAGTTGACCAAAACTATTATGGAGACAAAAGCACCATCTGAAACTATTTTGACCACCATACTTACACACACACACACACNCCCACCCTCTCTCGAAATTTTGACACTCTGATGTTCTCCCTCCTCCTCTGTGAAGCCTGAAGTTAACTCAAGGGCTAATGATAACTATCAAAACGCCTGCCATTTGATATTAATAAATATTTCGGTAAGTGAGGAAAATAATTTTACTTTTAATTGGCGTACAAGTCTTTTGTAATTCCTTCAAATCAAATTACGCACTATGCGTACCTTTGTTTATATGGTTTGAAGGTCTTAGTTACCACGTTACCAAAATGTAGACTCAACATCGCTGTAACCTGATTTGCTACCTCAAATAGCTAAAAATCTCAAAACATCACAATATTAAGCCATCGCCTCAATTTTTGAGGCTTGATCTAAAAATTATTGCGGGTAGTGGCCCCACAATTTAGAAACATTCCCGTATTTTCAATAATTAATATCTTTAAATAGTAATTTTAAATTTTTACTTTATTCCTATGGATGAGCTTATGATTATTTTGTAAAAATTCAAATGCGAATTGAGGTGCAATTTTCGTTGTTTTAAAAGACAAGGCTGCCATTGTTAACGCCGTCAGCCGCAAAAGTTGTAAAGTATTCAAGGTCTCTTCTTCGCCCCTCAACTTGTCACCCGAGAAGTTGTCCTCTCATATTGCCAACCATTTCCCCATCCGAAGCATTTAAAATTGAAGGAGTGTAAAAGGTTGTAACTTAGACTTGGGCAAAAGTCTCATCTGGCGATGATAGACACTGATTGTGGCAGATTTGATGAATAAAACCTCGGGTCACTTTAAATGCAAATCAATCACGACTACAAAGGGAGTCATCGAATAGACCCTCTAAGACTGATGGGGAGGGATAACGTCAGTTCGAGAGCCAATAAGATATTGACTGTAAGGAAGTGCAGATTCGCTTGCATTTTTGTGCCACCTCTTTCAACCCTCTTCCATTTGTCAGACAAAGGGACTTAGCATGACTTATTTCCTCAGATTAATTGCATTTAACTTCACCAATTGTCGAACACTTTGGATGTCAAGCGAACGTGCCTTGAGCTCGAATAACATTCGGGGATTTGTTCATGGTGCGAGACATGTAAGGAGGCAAAAGTACAAAATCCCTTCTTATGTCCGTTTAGGAGGCATATTTATTACATCTAGTGAACAAAAAGGCAGGATTTTGGGGGTGATTGTTGCTCAAACGCGGGTAATCGCAAAGGCAAGTCATGCTGGATCGATTTTAAGGCATGAAATGTGCAAATTTGTGTCATTGTTTGTTTATCTGAATTAGAATTATGTGAGGAAACACATTATGAGAGGCAGGTGCAGCCTGAGATTTTGCAAAAATTATGTAATAATTTCGATGAACATTAGATCTAGATATTCTAGAGACATATGAAGTCATCTTTGCTTGAAGAACTTTTATTTCTGCAAATGAACTTCCTAATTAGATTCCAAGAATAGATAAATTAACTGTTTTCTGAGTAAAAGAAGACTCTTTGCTGTTAAAATTGTGAAAATCCTTAGTGGTTAAAAATGGCGCGTTTTTATATTTTTCTGCAATCTGATTGGTCTCTGAAATAACCACAAATCATGAAACCCAATAATACCACTTAATTGCCTTAATGGCAGGCTTTGCTTAAAAATTATGCAAAACAACGTCTCTGTAATGTAGCGCACTTTAACAAATATGCTAATTTTATGAATAATAAATATGATGCGTAAGGAAATAAGACCCGCACAAAGGACTTCGCAGGGGGGTGGGCGGGGGGTGGCGGACAATATACAGACTGCATCTCCTTGTAGCACATCCTCCGACAGGTTGCAATCATGGAAGCAAATGAAAACATTTTACCAGATTTACTTAAGCCGTCCGCTTGGAGACCAGGCCTACGCCCAAATAAGGCGAAAAAGAATGACGGTGTCTCTACGGCGAGATTAGAGGTACTCGGATAAAAATGATCAGCCTTATATAGGAAAAAAAATAATTAACAATTCTTAATTAGCAATTGCCATTATCAATTGTTAAAGTGCGCTAAATTGCTAGGACGTTGCTTTGCGCAACTTTGAAGTTATGCCAAACACCAGAGCAATGATAAAGTAGTCAATAATTTGCGACTCTAAGGCAGATCAATAAGTTGAGGGCATTTAGTATTCTGAAGTTTGTAATTGAACTTAATTTACATGCATTTTAAACATGAATTTTCTAATTTTATTTTGTATTGGCAATGTCATCCTATTTGCAACTATTTGCATTTTCAACAATTCCAGTCATAAATGCATTATTTTTTTTATAAGTAATAGACGAGACATGAAAACACTTTTGTTTTTATTTACTCGCCTATTTTGTGTACTAACGCGTTGTGTCGCACGGTATGGGTAACTAAGTACGGAGTCGTGTGAATGATATTTTGAAAATTTCGACGTCACCTTTATGCCTAAAATTATTTGAATTGAGTCTTGTTGAAGTTTGAGGTGGATTTTTTTATTACTTTAAAGGCATTTAAAATTAAATCAGCGATAACAATAAACGGGGTAAATATATATTCGGCTATGTTGGGGTGTGCGATAGACTTACCTCCACGTGGTGCACCCTGGGCAACGTATTCTCATACGGCAAAAGTCTATTAACCGGCAGTTGACTTCTGACTTCAAACTACCATGGCCCGACTGCATTTCATATTCGACTAATTTCACAGTACTCACATCACCTTTTTTCTACCTTTGTCTGTCTGCCTCATTTACGTCTGTGAATCATTATTCTGTCCCCATTTCGACTTTTTTTCACTTTGCTGTTCCTCTTCCTTTCTGTGAAGCGACTTTTTACCACTTGGATGTTTATCTTCCTTTCTGTGAACTTTTTGCCACTTTGGTGTTCCTCTTCCTTTTTGTGAAGCAGGGCGCCGGAACTAAAGGGCTAATGATACCTATCATAACGCCTGCCATTTGAAATAACTATATTCGACTATGTATGGAGAGGTTCCAATTTAGACGCAATTAGCTCAAAGCAGGCAAACTTACTGAATTATTATTCTTCTAAATTGGAAATAACTAATACGTGAGGAATGAGTGTGACTTGTATATAACGCCGATGACAAAAATGAGCCAATAGGCAGTTGCGTAAATAAGTGGAAGTTCGTATTGGCAAGTTGCACTTTGTCTTGTAAAGGATAAAGTTAGGACTGCCAGCAGTTTCATGCTATTATTAGTAGCGTTGTGCTTATGCCAGTTTAGGAGGAGGAAATTTTGGAGGAAGAAAGTGGGAAGGAGGATGATTTCTGGAAAGTTATTTTTTCTTAACCTCGTTGTAAAATCACCAATTGTTGGCCGCATAGAGAAGAGAATCAAGTCATGACTATAACCGAAATAATCTGCAATAAAGTATTTTTGTTTAAATGATTGCACACCGCACTCAATTTGAAAGTTATTTTTTAAGCAAACTATTGACCTAAAGTTTTGTTTAAGCAAATTTGATTTTATAATCGAAGGTTTATGCAAATAAGGCACAATCACTGAACTCCTTCCACCTTGTGTCCAAATCACAATCGCAGTTGTATCGATTTTGATTCTCTTGGATTTTCGTTGATTTTAAACGCCGTTATTGTTTTTTTCACCCCAACTTTCCACATTCTTATCTGAAAGTGGGCGTTGTCTGCCGTTTGCCATTATTAGCTATTTGGCTTTGCTGCTGTTTTTGTCAACACTAACGAAAGTGGGCCTACAGCAAACCAGTGAACTTGGCTCTAACTCTTAAAATCTTGTTACCATGGTTGCGAATTTTGCTAATCTCTAAATTATATTTAAAATTCTCATGACATTTGCTTGTATTTCATTTCAAAGAAATAATTTTCTCATTTTTAACCATCATCTTGATTTCTAAACCACAAAATAGATGGACAACAAATTCAGTAATGACTATAGTTTCAACTTAACATGTAAGCATAAAATTAAGAAGCACGATTTACAAGTACTCGTTTGTATAGAATTTTGTTCCATTTACACACTGCTTGTTATACAAATTAAATTACCACTAGCGCATTAAAGATCCTGGAAATAATTATCACATGGACAATTTTAAGCTTGGTATATTCAGTTCCTTTGTTATTTTTTTATTTGACCGAAATCTTTTGATAGTTAGTCAGTTAGGATTTTGCATCTCTACAGAATTAAAGTTAAAAAAAACTAAGTAAACCACGAACTAATTTTAAATAACTTTAACAATTCTTCCAATGGCACTGGGTATGCGATAGACATACCTTCACGAGGTGCACCCTGGGCAACATATACTCATACAGCAAAAAAGTCTATTAACCGGAAGTTGAATTCTCGCTTCAAACTACCGTGACTAGACTGGTTATCATATATAACCATTTCCACTGCACTCACCCCACCTATTCCTCAAACTTTATGTCTGTCCCCCTTAAAACCGTGAATCACTCTTCTATTCTCCCCTCTTCATTTTATGACTTTGATGATCCTCCCCTCTCCGAAGCCCGAAGTGAACTAAAGGGCTAATGATACTTGTCATGAGGCCTGCCATTTGATATGAACAAAAAGATAAGTAAATACAATCATTAAATATTTCTGGAAATTTATTGCACACTTCTTTCATTTCATGAAAAAAATGACCTTATTTGATTATTTAATTGAGAAAAGCCTCATAATGTACGTTTTCAAAAACTAAAATTGTTCGTAGATTATGAAAGCTTAATTATAGACTGAATATTTCAAGTGAAAACATCGAAAAATGAAAACCAGGATTTTCCTGAACTCTCAATCACATCCATACTTGCTTCTTATTAACATATTAGTAAGAATGTACTTGGTAATACATGACATGATTTTTTAATTTGTTATTAATAAACCAAAATATATTGCTAGAAAAAATATTTTAAATTCATGCATGTAGTGTGCATATGAAATTGATTAATGGCGGCCGGACTGAAAGGATCAAAAATTTTAAGAAAAATAAAAATTGGAAATTCTGAGTTTTATTTAACCCAACAATACCAACGCCGAAAATTTGCTTAATTAAGTGGATATTTTATGGATTAATGGATGAAATATTAACAAAAATGGATTATTTATCAACTTAAAAATTCATTCATTAAAATAGAGCATGTACCTGAAATAATGATTTATATGAGATAGCCTTTTTCCATTATTTACTAAATGGTCGCTTATAGCAAATATGATCAAATTTATAATAACATGTCCTTTGAGATAGATGAATTTCTACTGCCCTCGTTATTTCCGGTTGAGGGGTGTGCGATAGACTTACCTCCACGTGGGGCACCCTGGCAAGGTATACTCATATGAAATAAGTCCATTATTCGGCAGTTGACTTCTGACTTCAAACTACCATGACCCCACTGCATGTCATATTCCACTACTTCTACATTTCTCGCCCCACCTGTTTTCTACCTTTGTGTCTGTCTCTTTTACATCTTTGAAAACGCTATGCCATGTTCGACTATTTCCACAGTACTCTCCTCACCATCACCTCACTCTATGCCAAATTCGACTATTTCCACAGTATTCACCTCACCTATTCTACCTTTGTGTCTGTCTCTTTTACATCTTTGAAACACCCTTTCGTTCCCCTCTCCCTCCTCTCGACTTTTGAAGTTTGATGTTCCTCCCCTCTGTGAATCCTGAAGTCAACTAAAGGGCTAATGATAACAATCGAGTCGCCTGCCATTTGATATCAATAACTTATTTGCGTTTGATGGCTCTATAACATGAGAAAAATTTACCAACCGAAGTTTATTTATCGAATATTTAATTGAAACAACAGATAATATCATTGAAGAAAAGCAAATTAAGAAAAATTTAATAGAGCGGACAGTGGTAAAAATAATTGCGACCGACAAACTTGTCGGAATTTACGAAAAGAATTGCATTTCTCCCGTAAAATTTTGCAATCCGCACTTATCGCGCCTTGAAAATTGTTTCTTAAGTCAATAGTTAGGTTTTAAATTTATTAATAAATATTCTGAGTGTCTAGAACTTTCGGATTTAAAGATGAAACAAAATTAACGTATTTAACGTTGCCATTTTAAGATTTCATTTACTGAACAGCCGGAAGCAAACATTTATACACGCAATCATTCTTTGAAAAATTTAATTAAAATGACAAGGTTTAATTAGGATCTTATCACTTTGACAAAATAATACTGGCGAATATTTGCCATACATTGAAGCTGTCGTTGAAATAAAGTGAATACCTCCTGAAATTCTATTTTTTGATTTAAACGCATATTTAGTTAGTATCCAACAAATTCATCTTGTCGTTTCTTTCGATTCTTACCTTGACTCCTTATTATCATCTGTTGGGCGTTTTGGTGTTCGCTGAAAGTTGCTTTAGGTGTAATTAACGCTCTTTTAATTAATTTGTGCAATAATATTAATCGATAATAATATTTTTTATTTAAGTTAATGTTCAGTAGTATAAAATCTCCCCCAACTTATTTATATATACCAAAGCAACGCCGCTCTTTATAAGCTTGTCATCTGGTTTTGGCATTATTATCAGCATGTTGGAAAAAATCGCCGCTTTAAATAGCGGTAATTTACTTCGAGGGTTTCGGGTGCTTAAAGTAAAATACTATTATTCTTATTCATTCTTCAGTCATTTAACATTGACGAGTTTAAATTGTTTGTTGTGCAAATGCACCATGAAAAATCCGGGGCTAATTTAGTTCATTTGTTCCGTGATGACCCTAATCGAGCATTTAGGTAAGTAGATAGTAACAGTAATTTACACAAATGTTGTTGGTGAGACTACCGCGTGTTTTTTTCAATTAGTGTCCAGTTTAGGACGACACCATCTGATAGTACTGGAGTTTCTCACATTCTTGAGCACACCGTACTTTGCGGTTCTCAAAAATATCCTGTTCGAGACCCATTCATGAAAATGCTTCGTCGAAGTCAGGCTACTTTCATGAACGCTTACACAGCTAACGATTGGACTATGTATCCCTTCAGCACGATGAATAGTACGGATTACGAAAATCTTCTGTCTGTATACGTAGATGCAGCATTCTTCCCTAAATTAACAAAATTAGATTTCATGTGGGTTATTTTAGTGTATAATCACTTTGCCCTTTCTTTGTTTTAACTAATCCTGCTTTTCAGGCAAGAAGGCTGGCGTCTGGAACCTGAAAATCTTACAGATTCTTCTTCTAAACTTATCCTTAAAGGCGTTGTTTACAACGAAATGAAGGGTGTATTTGTAAGTTTTGATCCATTTTCTCTATAACATTAGATCTTGATTAGGGTGTATTTTGAAGGAATCTTTTGTTCTTTAGTCCAACTCTCTAAATCATTTGGCTCAAGTTGTGGAGAATAATCTGCTCCCAGTGAGTTACGGATATGTTAGTGGAGGCCATCCTGATTGTATTCCAAATCTTACCTGGAAGGATCTGAAGAAATTCCATAGTACTTTTTACCATCCCAGTAACGCCAAGTGTGTACTTTGTCTACTATGTACATCTGAAGGCATTTTTATATTAATCTAATTTCGATTGCAGCTTCTATACTTACGGAAATATGGAGTTGGATGGGTGCTTGGAATACTTGGATGCTCAGTGCCTCTCGAAATTCGATGCCCAAGATCCATCGCCGAAAGTACCTTTAGAACCTAGATGGACAGAGCCGGTAGTTATTTCGTCACTAATTGTGACTTGGTTGATTTAAGTCTTGTTTTGCTTTTATATTTCTATAAATGGGTCATAAAAGTGTCCATTCTTTGTGGTGTATTAGGTACCTATTTATTTATTAGATAATTTATGATTTTGATGTATTCTTTTTTCTTATCCATATTATTAGAGTAACAGGCGTTTTGATAGTTATCATTAGCCATTTAGCTGACTTCGGGCTTCGCAGAGAGGAGGAGGAGCATCAAAGTGACAAAAAGTCGAGAGGGGGGACAGAATAATGATTCACAGATGTAACAGAGACAGACAAAAAGGCAGAGAAAAGGTAAGTTGAGTACTGTGGAAGGGGTCGAATATGACATACAGTGGGGTGATGGCAATTTGAAGTCAGAAGTCAACTGCCAGTTTAGACTTTTTTGCCGTATGAGTATACGTTCCCCAGGGTGCACCACGTGGAGGTAAGTCTATCGCACACCCCGTACTTGAATAATAGAGTGCGATGAAATAAAAACTTCAAAACGCTTAGGGAGTCATTCTTCATACTATTCCGTGGAATTGCTGTTGTCTTTGACTACTTCGTAGTGGCTTTGAGGAGTTGGTGTCATTATTTTCCTTTGTAGGCTACTTGATGTATTCTTTCCAAATTTGCTGCAATTGCTTAAAATAACACCACAACTTCGTTTAATAAATCATTAATTTTGCCACCTGATGCACGCAGGCCGTTGTCCACTTGTTAGGAAACATTTCTATTTGAAAATATTTTTCATTATTCTGTAAAAATTGGTTTCTTAATCATTGCCCCTTTTTTCGTCCTTCAGAGACGAATGCAAGTAGCCTGCCAACCGGATTCAACTTTAGCTGATCCCACCAGAACGGGTGTGGTTTCCGTTAGCTTCGCACTCATCGAGTAAGTACTAACGCCATCACAATTATTTAAAAGCCATAAGCCCATAGTGCCTACTATGCTATTGTCCAAGACTTCAATTGGACTAGTTTCTAAGGTCTGCCAGAAGGTGAATAGTGTCGCTTTATGCTCCTCATTCCTTGCAGCATCTGTGATATCTACACCAATTTTGCTCTTGCCATCGCAACCTCTCTCCTAATTGACGGTGACAGTGCACCCCTTTACCAGGGTCTCATCGAATCCGGTTTGGGTGTTGACTGGGCCTCTCCTATTAATGGAATGGATCGCAATAATCGTACAACTTGTTTTCACGTTGGTCTCCAGGGTGTTCGACCTGGCCCTGATACAGAGCGTGTTGAGAGGACAGTGATGGAGATCCTTGAGAACACTATTAAAACCGGATTCCAAAAGGTTTGTCTTGTTATATGTAGGCCTGCTTACTACAAATATCACTGGTCTATTTGTTTTCGTAGGAGCGCATTGAAGCTGTATTACACCAACAAGAAATCGCCCTAAAACAGGACAATACGAGATTCGGTTTGTCAGCTATTCTCGGTCTTGCAGGAATCGTGAACCATGGTGGAGATATTCAGAGAGCTCTTTCAGTTCAACAACTCGTGGATACATTTAAATCTCAACTTGTTGAGGATCCACATATGCTTGAGAAACTCATCGATCAGTATTTGGTGAAAAATCCACACCGTCTTTCGGTGATTATGGTGCCTGATGAGACGTTTGAGACTAAGCAGAAAGTGAAGGAGGCACAGCGACAAGAAAGGGCTGTTAAAGATCTCACACCAGAAAAGAGAGAAGTGATTATCAAGGAAGGTGCGTCAATTCTACTGCTGTCTTGTTTTTTTTCTACTCCACTACTGAGCTGATTTGCAAGTAGTGTACTTCGTTTATTTTCAGCTATTGAACTAGCGGAGGAGCAAAAGAGCCAAGAAAATGAGGATGTCTCCTGTCTACCCTCTCTCGGTCTCGTTGATATCCCCCCGAATTGCAGACCAGAACCCTTCACTGAGACTGACATTTGTGGATCATCTGTCCAGTTGAATGAAGCACCAACTAATGGCCTTGTTTATTTCCACACACTCGCTAATATATCGGATCTATCACAGGACCTTCTCGTCTACGTCCCTGTTTTTACATCTCTCTTCTCACAGTAAGTTGGACTCTTTTTTGTTCTTTCATTTTTACTACTCTTATCTTTAGGGGAGCTAGTTAAGCTTTCAAATTTTGAATCTTTTGTATTAGTTGTTGTTTTCCTTACACTTTAGACTCGGGGCTGATGGTCTTACCTATCAAGAAATGGACCTTCAACAAGAACTTAATACTGGGACCCTTTCAGCCTTTCCCCATGCTATGATTAGCTTGACAACCCCTGAGACCGAGCCCTGCACTCGCCATGTTCATATCTCATCTTACTGTCTGTCTGACAGAGTGCCGAAGATGCTCGAACTGGTGGAGAAGCGTCTGCGTGGAAATGATTGGCTTGATAGGACAAGGATTGCAACTCTACTGGCTGCGGATGCTTCGGGCCAGTGGTCTGCCAATGCACTCTCACATGATGGTTTGTGGCTTATCCCATTCATTAATCTTGTCACTTCTATTATCTAAAACTGGTAGTTTTTGCGTGGAGACGTGAAGAAGCTCTAAGAATTTCGGGGAATAAGTTAGCTTCTATTTTAGTCACCAATTTTTTACATTTCCCAATTCAATTTTGTAGGGTTAAACCACCTATGGAACTATGATCTTCCTGGTAGCTAACAGAAAACCGTAGACCTCGCAAATGTGACCGTACAATAGTGGAATGAAGAACAATGTTGGATAACAATTAGGATATATAATTAGATTGAGATGAGAGTGGAAATAATGCGTCTGTTGGTGAAAGTAAAGCAAAAGTGAGAGTGGGTCAATCAGTAATCAAAATGCAGTTGCACAGTGTGTCTTAAAAATGTATGCACGCTTAAAATAATTGTAAACACTGTGTTTATTATTATTTCTTTATTCCGTAGCAGTCTGTTATGCCAAGCTTTAGAGAAGACTTTGAAGATGAAGAGTTTTTCTTTCAGCAAGATGGGGCACCCCCACATTAACAACTCCACGTTAGGTCTTGCCAAACAGGTGGTTTGGACAAAGAGGTTTTGTTGAATATCCTCTCCGTTCACTAGACCCCACATCACTAACATTTTTTCCCATGGGACTGTTTAAAAGACAAAGTCTACGCTACAAAACCTACAGCATTAACTGAATTAAGAGAAGCCATTGGGCATGAATGCGTCCAAATCCCAAGGGAATTATTTCACAATGTATGTTACTCCATTGCTTGTCGTTGTCAGCAATGTCTGGATCAAAATGGGCGTCAGTTTGAGACACCCTGTATATGGGAAAGTGGGAAATAAATCCACAGGACTTGTGTTCTGTCAGTACTTTTGGTAGTCATATAAGTTACCTATCCTTCAAGCTAATATGTTTCCTTCTTCACACTACGGGCAAAGATGCAACGATTAACTGTGTTAAGAGGACACTTATTCGACGTTCCTCCCAGGGAACCGTACGATCGAGTCGTAGGTAGAAGAGCGCGACTAAGCTACCAATTCGGGAATTTGAGGAGAAATCCGTTGAGGTGGTTTATCCGTGACAGTCGCCTTTATTTGGCAATAGGAGCAATGATGAACCGCCATGTTTTATCAGTCCAGCCTTTGCCAAATCACTGTGTCTAATTATTCGTCTTCTTCTTCTTTTCAGCCCATCGTTTTGCAATGCGTCGTGCCTCCGCCAATCTCAACTCAATCGGGCGAATCTCTGAGCTCTGGGGTGGAGTGGAGCAAGCAGCTTTCATGCGCCACCTTGCTGCTCGTCTTCTTACCAATGCGGATTCCACCGATTGTGACCGCGCTTTTGAGGACTTCATCAACAAGCTCCGAACGATCGCCGATCATCTGCTGCTCAATCCGAGCAGACTCAGGTTAGTCGGTTGTGCGCATATTCAGTAATTGAAATGACCAACCGTATTGACTAATACCCTTCAACGGAAATAATCTGATTACGACTTTTATTACTCTAGTGTGTATCTTTGATACATCATTGACACAGAGAGGAGAAATAGTTACGAAATCCGTTTCCTGCATGAATCTAGACATTTTATTGTCCTACATCTCTCTCTCTCTCTCTCTCTCTCTCTCTCTGCCTCTTAAAAATTGAAATGTAAAGATTTTGTGTTCTAGGTTCAGCCTTCACGCCGAGCAAAACAATCTTGCCCCAGCATGTCAACAATTGGAAGCATTCCTCAAAACCCTTCCACTTAAGGAAACTTCTGCGGAGGTCGAGAGCGTGAAATCGACTCCTGACCCGACTCCATTGGAATCAAACAGCGCCCATGTTGCCCTCCCCTACTCAGTTCACTATACCAGTCTGGCTCTACCTGCACCTTACTACACCTCCCCTGATTTTCCCGCGTGAGTTTGCCATAATAATATTGCAGTGGAGTGTTAAGTTGATGCTTTTTTTAAATTTTCTAACCCTGGACGTTGGAAAATTGATGCTTTATGTGTACATCCCATGTTTAAATATGAACGAGGTTCTTTTTTTCATCTCATTGCTTTATTAGATATCGAGTATTGTCGAAGTGGTTGCATTCCTCATTCCTTCACACAGCTATCAGAGAACAGGGTGGCGCCTATGGTGGGGGCAGCTGTGTCAACCCCGGTCGTTTTGCCTTCTACTCCTATAGGTAAGTCGAGAGTCTCATGGTTTATGTAAGGTTCGACAATCGACCTACCCCCAAATTGAGTATTATTCATCAGCTAGATTCATTTATAGTTGCTCCTGGCTGTTAACCCTTTAAAGCCCGAATTATTTATGTTTTGTGAAAAATGCACCCAACCTCTCTCACGCGCGTCCTACATCGGAGTGATGCCGCCGATGTGATGAGTTTTGGCGGTAACAGGTGAAGGCTACATAGACACGTGTTGAACATGTTTCAAACGCCAATAGTAGCGCCGCTTCTGTTACGAGTCTGTTGTACCAATGGAGCCTATTTCGAAGGAGGACTGTACGGTCCCCTAAGGACGTTAAAGCAGCAGTTAGGTGTATCGGGATTCATAATTAATCAGTTGTTCTATGTGCTCTGTACTTGGGTTGCCTGAACTAGAAGAATGATTCAACACACTTTTTGGGTTTTTGTCCACAAAACTGCGCTAACGTCTTTGGACTCTTGTGGTTCAACCCCATGTGCATGTCTTGAGAAGTTTATTATTTCTCCTTTTTTTCAATGACGGCGTCAATTTTCATTTAAAAGTATGCTGTAGTTATCTACTCATGTACCCATCATATAGACACTGTGCGTGTATTTCCAACTTTCGCACACACACACTTTTCTTTTATCTCTTCGTTCGCTTTCCTCTCTCACTCGCTCAGCTTCTCGACCTGATTTATTCAATGCACGACTTCCACAATTCTTTGTGTTGCACTCTTTGAAACTATTGTTTGCTTGCAACATTAATCTTTGCTCTTCTATAATGGGCTTCTAGTTCATTAGTTCCTATGATTTTGTCGCTCCTAATTTGCCAACGTCAAATTCGGTTACTCCAACCACTTCACTGGATGGTAGCACATTCTGGGGTGTGAATGTTCGAATATTATTATTATTTCAAATGGCAGGCTTTATGATATTTATCATTAGCCCTCAAACTTTGACTTCAGCTTCCCCCTTGGGTGGGGGTACATATATAGCAGTTCATTAGCCGTCTTCTTGCTTCCCAGTATCTCTGGCTTTCCGTCGTTGTCTTTAGGGCTGGACATCGAATCAGGTGGGTCTTCTCCATTTCCTCCTGTAGGTTACATAGGGGGCATGTGGGTTGAGTGCATACTCCCAATTTGTGAAGATGTTTTGCCAAGCAATCGTGTCCGGTACGTAGTCTAAACTCACCAACGGCTTCGATTCTTGGTCAGTCAGCTATATCGGAGAGTGCCACTGTCCACTGTTTCTCCTTTGTTCAAGCTTTAAGTTCGTTGCACCTTGAGGTCTGGAATTCTCTTCTGATTAAGGCCTTCATTGTGTGGAAAGACATCGGCCGGTCCATGCATTGCAAAATCGTTGTCCCCTTCTTAGCAAGTGTGTCAGCAAGCTCATTGCCTTTAATGCCACAGCGACCAGGAATCCATTGTAGGACCACTGTTTTGTTTTTCTCTCTCAGCAGCTCATAGAGTTTTCTACATTCCTTTATCTCAGCTGCTTTGGGTGGCTCTCTGCTTCCAATTGTGTTTATTGATGTTCGAATATTTGAACATGACGTGTTGGAGTTGACCCATGAAACCAAAAAAGGCGATCCATCTGATGAATCTCGTATTCAAGGACGATGAGAATTTTTAAATTAAATATCTTCAAAATAAATATAGCGAATTTTTTTACTTTGCCATTAATGCATGCAATAATGATGGTGGTAAGATGTAATTGGTGTTTAACTTTTTGTTCGTTATTTCCTACAGAGATCCATCTGCCGGACCTACCTTGAAAGTGTTTGAAAAATCTCTTGATTTTGCACTCTCTACCGAATTCAAGCAACAGGATATCGTTGAAGCCAAGTTATCCGTCTTCCAAGAGGTAATTAAATATTCAATTTTTCCCCTCTTAAAATTAGATCAAATTGTTTTCAATTATGTATTTTCAAAGCCATGAGCAGCTGAATACTGTCAGTATCTGTTTGATGTGCAAATTAATGAGCTGTTAGGGTCTCTAGGCAACTGAATGCAATCATTGAAATAGATGGCGGTTTCATCTAACTTGTCATTTTTTCCTCCTTATCTGTAGTTGGATAGTCCGGTTTCAGCAGGCTCACGTGGGTTGAACGCTTTCTTGACTACCATCGGCGATGAAGAGCGTCAGAATCATCGTGAACTTCTTTTCAAAGTGGATGAACCAGCCTTGAAGCAAGCAGCTCAGTGTCTTCGTGACCAGTTGGCAAGTCAGACGCATGTTGGACGAGCTGTGCTTGGACCTAAGGATGCAAAGCTTGAGCAGGATGGGGAACAACAGGCTGCCAAGTGGAACATTGTTGACCTCTCCCAATTTGACTAGAACGTGTAGATTAAATACACTTTGAAGCGGTATTTTGTAGTAAATAATCAATTATTTCAATTGATCCATATCCCCTTTTCACGCTTGGGCATTTCGGTCTTCGCCAACTTGGGCGCTGCAGCACTTAGAATCTGCTATAAGATGTGTGATTCCAATTGATAGTTGATGGAAAGGTTATAGTTGCAAGCTTAAGTGTTAAGAGGAACTTTGGCGAGCTGGTGCTTTAGAATGAAACTCAGTGCTCCCGCTTGGTTCGTTATCGTACTTTATGGTAGATCCTGAATTTTTTTCAGAGAAATGTACTAAATTCAATGTACCTTTAAGGGGCAAAGTAGGCGTTTCCAATTCAATGTTAGTCAATGAGCTTTTTTCTGGTTAAAGTTTTTCTTATTTGGTCTTTTGTTGTGTGTATAGTGGCAACTAAATTGTGCTTATATAAAAAGTCGGATTTTGTGAGTGTAACGGATACCAACTTATTGAATGGCCGTTTGAAATCAATTATAATTTCAAGTGTACAATAAATTTAGAATTATTTTTCCAAGAATAACTTCGTTAGCCTAAAATGTTGTTCACTTGTATCTAATAATTCATATTATCCAAGTTGTTTTATCTTCTTTTATATCTGTAAAGAATTTCCCTTGCGAATACAAGTCTGAACAATTCTTTCGTAACAAGTTGAAATGGGTTCTACCTTAATAACTTGGGGAATTCAATAAGAGTACTAAAGTCCTTACCTAAAATAGAAGAAAATCAAATTCAAATTTTTCTTCTTTTATAAACTCTGTGGTTTTAGATATATTTTAAACCTGTAGCTATCTCCGAAAATTTTCTTCCAATCTTTAATGTCACTGAGATTCCTAGTGATATTCCCCAATAAATGCATCGAATGTGCCTCCGTATTTGAAGCCGCTAAATAAATGTTAAACTCTCAGGCTGTGAGCTGAAACTATTTTGGAATAAAGCTAAGAATATATTATTTTTGCATATATATTGCTCAATTTTTTATGAGGATCCAAAGTAATGATCCGATCATTACTAATTGGTTAAACAGTTTTGCAAGCGTGCCTAAAAGTATTAACTTGTTCAGGAGGGTAGTATCAAGTAATATAGGAGTAGAAGGAGGATATGTAATGAGTTATGATCAGTGTATGACATTAACTAGTTATACAATAAATATAATAATTTAATTAACACATTATTCCATTGGAGAACGAGTAAGATATGAAACGGTGTCACTACTTTGCGCTTTATATATATATATATATAAAGCGGATAACTTCAGTTTTCAATCAAACTATTGAATTATGCCACTTCAATTTCATCAGTGAATAAACTGCAATTATTTAATTTAAATTACTAACGTAAATAATTGAATTTCATAATTAGTTTATGCTAATCAATTCAAGGTCATTTATGATACGTCGAATGTTCAATTATCAATGGAAAATTTGCAGCCAACGATTATCTGATGTTCTGAATGCTGAATCAATATTCTACCTGGAGGACAATTGAACTGTTTTAATAAACACCTCAGTCATATATTTCTATGTTATTTTGGATTATTAATAAGTAAATGCTTTTCAAATTACTTATAATTAATGGCGAATGGTGTGAAGAAACTGGAAACTATTGACCTTCTTAACCACCCCGACAATATCCGTCCCACTCTTAGTCAACTTGGTGAAACAAGGCCGAAGAAAAATCCCCGAATTCGCTTTGTTGAACCTAAATTTGATGTAATCAAGAGGGAAAATTTTCGAATATTTGGTGAAGAGGCGCATCGTTTTGCAGAAAAAGGAAAGTTCGATCATCTCAGGGAACAGTACCATGACTATAGAAGCACTAATAAAATGCATCAGGATTCATTAACCAGAAGTTTTTCGTCTTTAACTCGAAACAGTTCTAGTCCTATGGCTAAGTAATTTTATATTTTATTGAAATATGGTCAAATTGCAATATGTCATTATTTTACTGTACATTTCATTTTAGAATCCTTCAGCCCGACCTTTCACCAATTCCTTGCACAACCAGACCATCTAGTCCCTGTCTTCGTGGAGAAGAAAGTCTTGAAAATTGGCGTCGCGGTAGAGGCTGTCTTTCGCTGCAGTACCACACGCCACAGCGAGTTCCAACCAGTGATGCACCTTCATGCGATTCCCGTTTTAGTTACCGAACCGAAGAGGTATTGCATTCATTAAATACGATATTGTGAGGTATTGCTATGTTATTACCCACAGGAAAGCAAGCTTTACTTGAAGAGGAACCCGGACTAAAGTGTAGCGGATTGCCAGCGGATTGTAGGTAGCAATCCGCTACAAAAGCATTAAAATATCACAAAATGAATAAGAAATCTTTGAAAAGACATACTTCTCCAGAGGTACGAGTAAAATTCCATTTAATAAACATCGAAGACGTAAATTTCTCCTGGAACCCATCAAATCGTTCATTTGAATTTGAGTAATCAGAATGTGACACGATGTGAGAGCGCGAACTCAAATAAAGTTGAATTCTATCCATAGGCCCGAAACTAGTAATTAATTAAAAGTGATATATTTTCCCCTTAATTAATAAATATTGCTGTTGATTTAAGAAATACGCCTACTGAAATTAACGGTTTTATGTTTACTTTCGTGTGATAGTGAAAATTTGTTGCGAGTTTCCTGATTTTATTTTTCAATTATTAAGGGTACACCATCAAACGGTAATGTAGTCCTGATTGGACTTTTTAACTACGAAAATTTCCTTGAGTTTCTCAAACATATTCAAATTTCTAAGTCCTTATCCTCTTTAGTATTTCCTAAAACTTTGCCTCATATGGCACTGTTCTTATATTCTGCCCCTTTTGTTATTTTGGTTGTTATGGTAACACTAAATTGACTGAATTGTTTCTTAATAATATACAGTCAGAAGACGGTTGATCGGAAAATTTGCTCTCCTTTTATACAAAATGGCCTATGCGAATCTAGAAGCCTGTGGTTCCTTACCTTTAATTCGCTAATACCATTATGGATCGACTTTTCTGAATTTATTTTTCATTTTTGCCATGGTGATACAAAATAGCCTTTTGTTTTAACCAGCTGAAAAATTATCTAACTTTGACGCATTTTTCTATTAAGTAGCAATGGCGGATGCATGATGGAATATAAGTGTAGTATTTACCACGTAAATCTGTCTTGACTAAACCTTGACAATCAAAAATTACACCAGAGCATATTGAGTGAATCCTATTTATTACCAATATGATCAACTGGGAGACAGTATCAGTGGGCTTAACGAAACTATGGACCAATATTAATTGGGAATTAGCTGGGAAGACATCTGCATTTGTGACTGCATTTTCCACAGCATTTCAGTTGGTCTTGAAAGTGTTGTGCACTCCATGTAAGAAAGTGGAAATTTCTTGTTAACTTTATTAATCTGATTTCAATTTTTACTAGCCTCTTAGTCCATCTTTGTTCCAATAGTAGATCAACATTCACTTTTATTTTTAACGATACGGGTATGCGATAGACTTACCTCCACGTGGTGCACTCTGGG